ACCCAGCTCTTCAAGGCACGTGTGGGAGCACCTCTTTGTCCTGAGCACCCGCTGATGCTTTCCTTCGCCCTCTCTCTGTCCTCGCAGCTCGCTGCCGGAAGAGAAAAGCAAAACAAGCTCTTCCTTCGAAACTGGTCCAAAGCCGAGCGAGAAGCCAGATGCGGAGCAAGCTGAGCTGGATCCAGAGCAGAAGCGGAGCCGTGCCCGGGAGCGGAGCCGTGCCCGGGAGCGCCGGCGAGAAGGACGATCCAAGACTTTTGACTGGGCCGAATTTCGCCCCATCCAGCAAGCCCTGGCGCAGGAGCGTGCGAACGCTGCAGACTCCTCCAAGAGCGGCTCTGCCGCCTTCTCTAGGGACACCGGGGCCACCGATACCGACTCGGGAGAGCTGGAGCGGGAGCGGGCCCGGCGACGGGAGGAACGGCGCAAACGCTTCGAGATGATCGATGCCGTGGACGGGACAGGGTCGGAAGAGTCGCTGAGGATGGAGGTGGATCGAATCTTGCCCGTCCCGACGGACATCAAACCGCAGAATGTCCATGTGGAGATCGAGCAGCGCTGGCACCAGGTGGAGACCACCCCGCTGCGGGAGGAGAAGCAGATCCCCATCACGCCCCTCCACCTTGCCCACACCGAGGACCGGGACGAGGGGCTGGCGGAGCAGCACTTGACCACGCTGCTGGAGAAGGAGGTAAAGCGGGGGGTGGGGGGTGCAGGCTGCCTGCCGAAAAATGGCCTTCAGGTCACTGCAGTGACTCTAAGAAGCCTGGACAAGGCTTAAAAAAGCTGCATTTACTCTTGCTTAGGAATAGCAATGGGTGGGGATGCCGTAGGGTCCCCTGGGGAGCTGGCAGGGCACAGATCCGTGTCCGTTCCCATCTGGCTCTGCCGGCAGCTTTCATGTTCCCACGGCTGCAGAAAGGGCTGTTCTTGCGGAGAGTGATGTTTCGTTATCCCCTCCCATGTAATGCAGCCTACCCTTGGGTTGGTTTTTAGCCAGCCTGCCGCCAGTGAACGGGGTACAACTGATGTGTGTTGACCAGACTCTAAATTCAAGCTCATAATTCCATGTGCCTCTGCAGCTGTAGAGATTTGTGTCTGCGTTACGACTACAAAACCATGAACTGGCTCGAGTTGTAGCACGCACCACAAAGGTTCCCTTTTTGTGGAACCTACATCAAACAATTGTACGATTTTAGGGAAAAGAACAGAGGAGACTCAGCTCCCTTGAAAGAGACCTACTCCTAGGATAACAAAAGTTGTTGTTAGTTGGGATTAAGGTGTACTAACAGGAATGAAAGGGGTGCAGGCATGGAGTAACCAGGAGTGTTGCTGATCTGAACTGGGCTGGGATTTGCCGGAGTCATGCTTGGCACAAGCTGGTGCCTTTCGTCCTTCACTGCAGCGAGCTTTACGCATTGCGTAATGCGTAACTTGGTTTTTCAGAGGGGAGGGGTTTTGCCTGGCAAAAATGAAATCCAGCTCCCAGAGCAGAGCAAAGCAGCAGTGCCATCAAAAGCTCCATTCGTTCTGTTTTACTTCCCCTCCAAACCGCCTGCTCCTTATGGCCGACCCCCTGCCCACTCCTTGGACGCTGTCTCTGTTCGTGTCCCTCCAGCTGGAGCAGAAGCAGAAGGAGGCCCTGGAGCTCCTGGAGCAGAACCGGCACCTGCAGGACCAGCTGAAAGTGGCACTGGGCCGGGAGCAGAGCGCCCGCGAGGGCTACGTGTTGCAGGTAGGAGAGCGGGGAAGAGAGAAAAACCCATCTTCCTCTGTGCCCGACGGGGACCCTGGTGGACTTCAGTCCAAGGTGTTCATGGGGATGTCCTAGTTGATGTGGAGATGTGCACCAAGAGACTTTTTTGCAAATGTTGCTAACTCTGTAGCCTTACCAGGTTCCATCTGCTTGACAAAACCTCTGATCTGGGATGTGGTAGAGAGGAGATAGCATTACCTGCCAGTGTCCCAGAGGAAAAACAAAACACAACCGTGGTAGACAGATGGGAACTCAGCATACTCCACCTCTGATCTATCCTATACTGTGTTTGCCTATGCAACAGCTATTTCCCCCGTTCTGTGCCCCAGATATTCCCCTCAGGCAGTGGATGCACATATGACTTTCTAAACATCTCGTAGCCCAGCAGTTGCTTCTGGCCGGGCGGTTTGTGTGGTGGTTACATGAGCAAACACAGCACCTGCAGGAATATCTCCCAGGTCTTCCCCATGGTCAGAGTGGGATTTGCACCCAGATGACTTGTTGTCTTGGATCACTTTGGTGGTTCCTTTTGTTACAAGATGCTTTTCCTCAGCAAAGCCTAGAAGCGTGTTTTGGAGATTCTGGCAAAAGAGATGGGAAAGTCTCTCGGGAAGCATTTCCTTCCTTCCTGCAAGGTGGACTTTTTCCAGCTCTTCCTCTGGGAGCTCTCCTGCCCAGAGGAGCCACGATGCCTCCAGGGCAACTTCTGGCTGGGTCCATGAGTCCATAGTCGTGTTTTGTCCGGCAGCAGCATTTTGACCTGTTAAAATCTACTTGACCAAACAATCTCTGGATCAAAGTGGCCCTGCATGGCCACACACTGCACTCCCATGGCAGCACACCTGGTGTTGACACTGAACCTTGGCGTTCCGTATTTCTCATGGGAGAAGTTGCCCCAGCAGAAGTTGCACAGGCAGCGGAGACAGCCCAGGCAAGGGGGCATCTTCCCTTCCTTGCCTGTTGTCTCCTTGGAGTTATTAGTGCATTTATTTCTGGAGCTGACAGCGGTTGCTTGTAGGAGTTCCATTTTCACTTGGCAGTGTTGGAAGAATAAACTCCCACTTCCCTGGGGCAAAGGCATTTGCCCTCGCTTTTTCCTGGAGTCTAGAAAAATCAGGGAATGGGGCTAAAAGCTGAGTGCTGAATCCACCATCAGGTTGGCTGCGTTGAAGTTGGCCATAGTGCCTTCATAGAAGGAGAGGGAGCAAGAGGGGAAGTCTGCAGAAGGGCTGAGCAAATCATCGCTGCACTGAGGAGTGACCCAGGCTTGGATCTAGAATTTGGAGAGGGTTTTTGGAAGAATTGGAGGCTTTTGCTTGCTCCAGTCTTAATTGTTCCAGGATTTTTCCTTGTGTTCCACCAGGAGCAGAGGGAATAAAGTCCTGAGGCAGAAGGGAGTAAGGCCAGCAAACCCTGCTGGGGTGGAGGGAGTGGAGTCACTGGGGGGGAGGCTTCTGCAGCCCCAGACTGGGCAAACATCACAGCACTTTTTTTGGATGGACCCTCTGAATTTCACGTGGCCCCCGCCTCCATCATGCCTGTTTTCAGAGAGGTTCCTACCTTGTCCATGGGGAGGGACAGTGGAGGTGCCTGATTTCTGCCAACCCATCCCTCCTCAGCTGCCAGGGGGGCACCAATCCCCTCCTTGGCAGCGTGACCAGCCCCATATGGACCCCCCGGTACTGCCCCCACCTAACAGACGCTGCACGTTTCGTAAGGCAGCCGCTGGGATCCCCACCCTCATGCATGTGCCGTGCACCGAAGCCTCTTGGGCCTTGTGTAACCCCTCTCTCACTCTGAGCTTCCTCGGGACGGGGCCCCACCAATTTCAAACCTCCCCAGGAAATACGGGGGAGCTCCTGCTCCTCACAAACGGACCAGAGATGTCCCCCCTCCCCGGCTCTGGTCACGGTGGGCGGGAGGGGTCACATACTAACCCGTCCCGGGTGGATGTTCTTGCATGTTTTTGGTGTAAAGCATGAAATTTAACTTAACGTAACTGAGTGTCACATCTGTGGGCTTTCCTTATCAGCAAGCAGAGTACAGCAAGGCAGGCCAAATTCCTAGGCTTAACGCTGTGCTTCTCTCGCCTCTTCCTGTCTGTGTATTTTTTTTTTTTTAAAGATACATAATTTCTGTCGCCTTTTGCATGACTCTTTCTGTGAGTTTTCTCTTTGCATGCAACATTGCTTTGGTTTGAATCTCACAAAGGTTGGTTTATTTTATTTTACATTCTCATCACACCTTTTCCCTCCCTTCACTTGTCGGGCTTTTTATTTTGTCCTTTGTTGGTTTTGGTTTGGTTTTGTTTTTTTGCAGGTAGAGAAATTAGATCCTCCCTAGCCTTAAACTTTCGCATAACAGCATCTCTTTAATGCGATGAGCAGCCACTAAGTCCTGTTTGGCAGTCCCAGAAATGACATCACCACGCCGGCCGTCCTGTCTCCCTGCGTTTGGGTGGGATGTGATGTCATTTGCTGTCACCTCACTTTCTGTTGTTGCTTTTGGTCGGTAGGACTGTGTTACCTGAACTGTGCACTTTTTGTTTCACCACAAAACGAACAAACACGCTAAAAAAAGCAGTTCCTTTCTTCTCGACCTGTTCCCATCCCCTCCTCCTTCTCACCCTTCCCGTTTTTCTCTCGTCTGTCCGTCTCTGTTTTACTGCTGGTGTTTCTTTTTCATTGTTTTTTGGTTCTGTTTGATTTTGGTTTGGTTTGGTGTTTTTTTTTTCCTTTTAGCCTGTTAACTGTACAGCTGTTTCGATGTTGTGGTCCATGTTTTCTGTTATTGGAAAGCAGTTGTCGCTCATCCCAAAAAAGAATAAAAAAAAAAAAAGGTTGGTTAAAACCAAAAAAATTGTGCCAAGAACAAATCATCCCAATTGGAGCATGTGGGTAGCAGCCAAATCGCTGTGAGGAGCTTTCCCGTGGCCTGCCTGGCCAGAGGTGTGACACTCAGAAAGGAGAGCCAAGAGTGTTACTAATCTAGTATTTAATCAATTTTTTTAAGACCGAGGTGGCCGCCTCGCCATCAGGTGCCTGGCAGAGGCTCCACAAAGTCAACCAAGACCTCCAAAGCGAGCTGGAAGCCCAATGCCAGCGTCAAGAGCTGATCAATCAGCAGATTCAGTCGCTGAAGCGCAGCTACGCCGAGGCCAAGGACGTGATCCGGCACCACGAAGCCGAGATTCAGAGCCTGCAGGCGAGGCTCAGTAACGCGGCGGCCGAGCTCTCCATCAAGGAGCAGACGTTGGCCAAGCTCAAGAGCGACCTGAGGAGCGAAAAAGAGAAAGCCAAAGAGCAGCTGGAAGAGTGGCAGCACGGCGAGGCTGCGCTCAGCTCCCAGCTGAAGGCCAGCGAGCAGAAGCTGAAGAGCGCGGAGGCTCTGCTCCTCGAGAAGACCCAGGAGCTGCGGGACCTGGAGATGCAGCAGGCGTTGCAGAGGGACCATCAGAAGGAGGTGCAGCGGCTCCAAGACAGGATCGCAGACCTGAGCAGGCAGCTGAACGCCAGCGAGCAAACCCGGGTCCTCATGGAGGAGAAGCTGCAGAAGAATTACGAGGCTTTGCTGGAGAGCTGCGAGAGGGAAAAGCAGGTTTTGATACGGAGTCTGAAGGAGGTGGAGGATAAGGCCAACGAGTACGAGAACCAGCTGCAAAATAGCGAGCAGCAAATGGAGATTCTGCAGAAGGAGAAGCTGAGTGCAAAGTTTGAAGGCAGCGAGCTCGTCCACCAGCTGGAGGAGCAGCTGGTGATGAAGGAGGCCAGCATCCAGAAACTCGCGGAGCACATCAAGGAGCTCGAGAGAGAAAGAGATCAGATCAAATGTCGGTTCCACGAGCTCATGAATCAGGTTGCCGAGTCGGATAACGAAGTCGCAAAGCTGCAAGCAAAGTTGAAGATGGAAGAGACCAACTACCACAATCTGGAGCGATCGTTCGAGGAGGTGTCGGATCAGTTCCAGGGTGTGCAGAAGGTGCTGAAAGAAAAAGAAGAAGAGCTGAGACAAGTTAAGGAAATGCACTTGAGAATTGTGGAGAAGAAAGATCAAGATCTCAGTGAGGCTTTTGTTAAAATGGTTGCTTTAGATAGCAGTTTAGAGGAGACTAAAGTAAAACTAAAGGCCAAGGAGGAGGCTTTAAAGAAATTAGCTAGTTTAGGCACAGGTCTGTGTGCTGAGGAGACAGAAGACCTTGGCCCCAGTCTTGAGGCTGATGAAAATCATCCTTCCCAACTGGGGCAGCCTCTGCAAAGTCAGGATGTCCTCCCAGCTCTGACTTATGCGCTGAAGGAGGAGGAAGATGAGGTTCTTGAGACCAGCCAGAGGCAAGCGGAGGAATTTGGCTCGCCATCCAAAGCTGTAGAGTTCCAGGACCAAGAGTTGATTCAGAAAGCCTTAGCAAAGCCTGATGTAGGAATCATGGGGGCCAAGAGGCAAAGAATCCGTTTCTCGAGCATCCAGTGCCAAAAGTACATCCATCCAGACGGATCAGAGAAAAACTGGACAAGCAGTACCTCTTCAGACACAAGCCAGGACAGATCGCTGTCTGAAGAAAGCATGTCATCAGAGCCAGCTCTTGGTTACCCATCATCTGGGACAAGTGACTCTGAGACCTATCTCTCAATCATCCATTCCCTGGAAACCAAACTTTATATCACAGAGGAAAAGCTCAAAGACGTAACGATGAAGCTTGAAAGCCAGCACGGCCAAAATCAGGAGACGCTTATCGCCCTCCACCATCAGTGGGCCAGCACAGAGTCTCAGCTGCGGGAGCAGCTTCAGACCAGCTTATCCCAAGTCAGTGCTTTGGTCTCGCAGCTGGAGAGCGAGAGGCAGGAAAAGTTCAAGCTCATAGAAAATCATGTTAGCGAGCTGGGAGGTTTCCAAATGAAAAATGATCAAGCACTGACTTGCTTAGAGAAGTGCAGGGAACAACTAAGGTGTTTGCCCAAATCAGACAAAGAGAAGGAAGGTGATTTGTTCCTTGTCGCTCTGTCCAGCATGGAAACAACCTTATCAAATGCAATCCAAGCCTTGAAAGGGGCACCAGGCCCCTCAGAGTATCAGCAGAGCGAAAGCCTTATCGCAGAAAGCCCCGCGCCAGAAGGAGATTTTTTGGGAGAAAAGGAGCACATCTCCAAGGAGCAACGAGTGGAGACGTTTGACGCCAGCCAGCTGAGGTGGCTTTCTGAGAGAGTGGCATTTGAGGCTTCTCTCATCAACCAAATAGCGGAGTCTTTGAAAAATGCGAGCTCTGAGATATCTCAGCTTCTGAGAGAGATCCAGGGAACGGCTGAAGTGGTTTTGTTGGAGCCGGCAAATGTTTCTCATACAGCAGTCGACTTGGCCAGCGTCCTATCTAAGAAGCTGCTGCTGGAAGGTGAGTTCTGGAGCCAGGTGGAGGAGCTGAGAGTACACTTAAGCAGCAGAGAAGGAGAAGCCGAGGGCAAAACAGAAACAACAGGTTTGGGCTTTTCTCCATGTTTTCTCAGTGCTGTAGCGGATGCGACATTGGTCAAGGCAGAGCTTGGGTTTGTCGCACAGAAAATGAGAGAATCTTTTCATCAGAGATTAAAAACAATTGAAGAAGACCTCCATAATACCAAAACAGCTCTCCAGCAGCATAAGTGCATGTTGGAGGAGATCCTCAAAGCATACAGAACTCCTGATTTTGACGGAGTTATGCACCAGATTTCTGAAGCGCTTGAAATTCAAAAAGATGCTTCAGAAAGAACCCAAATCTCCTGGGATGGGAGCTGTCTCCAGATGGTGCCATGTCAGGAATTAGCCAAGGTGGAGGACATTGGCGACCTGCCGGACCGTAGTAGTGAAGCTCTTGTTTCCATTCAGGAAGACCTTGCCCAACAATTGAAGGACAAATCAAATGTTCTGAAGGAGATATCTGTTGCCTTACTCTCTCTGCCTCCTGAGGAGGCAATGAGAGACTGTCAGAAGCTCCTGAAGATATCTCAGACTCTTTCGTATCATTCATGCATGGGAGACCTTGAACGGTATTCCTCCCTCTTAGTCCACGATGCAATTGTTCAGGCTCAAGTTTGTTACGCCGCTTGCAAAGTCCGACTGGAGCACGAGAGAGAGATGAAGTCCTACAAGGAGTCCTTGCAGAGCATGGACGCGCTCTGCCAAGAGCGTGTGAAGACGGTCTCTCTCCTGCGGGACGAGTACGAAGACTTGCTTAGAAAGCAGCAGGGTGAGTACAGCGAGGTGATCGCCATGCTTGAAAGGGAGAATGCCGATCTCAAGGCAAAAGTGTCCCAGCTTGACAACCAGCGAAGGCTCTTGGAGGAAGAAGAGCATAAACACAGCAAGAGCTTGAGCGAGTTACAGGGACGGTATGAGGAGGAGATTCGAAACGTGATAGAGCAACTGAACAGGACAGAGGATGCTCTGAAGGCTGAGAGGACGGAGGGGCTCAACCAGCTGGATGCCATCGTCCGTGACAAGCAGAACATGGAGCGGTATCACCTGGAGCAGATGCAAATGCTGGAGGACAAGTTCCAGGCCAAGATCAAGGAGCTGCAGGTCATCCACGGGGAGGAGCTGCAGGCGCTGCAGGAGCACTACAGCCAGAACCTGCAGCGCTTGCAAGAGACCCTCGACGAGTACCAGAGGCAGCACCCGGAGATGTCCCCCGCGATGGGACCGGGTGGTGGGGACACCTGGGTGGCTGGTGAGGCGGGTGGCACCGGGCAGGGCCCTGGCGGTGACCTGGACTCCATGCACGACCTGAGGGAACGCATCCAGGAGCTGGAGGCCCAAATGAACGTCATGAGGGACGAGCTGGAGAACAAGCACCTGGAGGGCAACGCTTCCACCTTGAGGGAAAAATACCAGAAAGACTTTGAAAACTTAAAGGTCTCGATATGTTTAACACTTTATGCTTTCTCCTGCTGAGCGTTTGAGAGGGTGTGTTCAGTCCCGGGGTTCGCTTGCTGAATTGAGGGGTGTCCCCCGAAAGAGCCAGCGTGACAAAGCAAGCTCTGAAGTGTTAGAAAGGTGTCTGTAAAGCATGGCGTTCTCCTTTTCTCCATGCTGGGGTATTCTAAATGCATTGCTGAGGGCTTGGTCTCAGCGGGAGGGTCTCTGGGCGTAGAGGGAGAGAGGGTGTCGAAGTAGCTTGGTAACATCACACTTTCCTTCAGTATGAACCGGTGGGGTTTCTCCTCGAACCCGAGGTGTGCATTTTGTTCGTGACATCCCTCAGCTCTGTCTTTCCAAATCTCCAGTCTGTCTCTGCTGCCTTCAAAACTGTAGGCTGAAATGGAAACCTAACGCTCCCAAAACCTCTGTTCCTGGGGAAAGTAGCTGCAAACGGATGTAAATTTCTGTAGCAAAGTAAAGCTCCTCTGCTCGAGGCTGCGAGGCGAACCGCCCTGGTGGGGTACACCAGCCTTTCTTTACACAACAAACAGTGCACAGTTACAGGAAACCCAGGCTAGGTGCAGAAAAACCCACCGGCAATGATGTGCCATCGTTCAGATTGCTCCACCGGTCCGGCTAGCTGGCCAACTAGCCAGAGGTGGTACAGTGTCTGAAAAAAAACCAAAAAACCCTCTTGGGTTTGGTATTTTGCTTTTGATGGGAGAGCATTCCCAGCTAGGAAGCGGATTTAGGGCAGCAGAGGACTCTCGGCAGCAGCAAGGGAGGTTCCCAGGTTGAAAGGGCAATGATGTAGCTTTCACCCAGCCCTTGTTCTTCAGAGTCAGCAAAAATGTGGGAGAGCTTGCTTCCAGCCACGCAATCCTTAGTGCATGCTTGGGCTGGGGTTAAAGCGTGGCTCAGCTCCAGCCAGAAGCTGGTTTTAGCCTGGGGAGAGCAGTAATTCGGCTGCATCCAGTCAGGGGTGAATCGGGTGTCCGGGGCAGGGAGAGCTGCCGGTGAGATGAGATTGGAGCAGCAGTGGTCACTGGACGCTGTCTTCTCCATTTTAACCCTCAGGAAGGAAAAGTCCTTCCCGAACTCCCTGTTCAGGTCCTTGTCCTGCCGAAACAGTCACTTGTGCCTGGGGATGGTTTTTGCTTTTGAAGAAGCAGAAAGGCCAGAACCAATACAGGGGCTGAGAAACAGCAGCAAGCACTGAACCTGCCCTCCCGCCTGAGTTTTCATCTTCTCTCTGCCAAAACTTGCAGTTTGCCTGGTGGGAGGCAAGCAGCACCTCCTGGGCAGAGGGGTCCGGGAGGAGAGCAGGGTGAGCCGGCCTGTCTGTGCACCTTTTGCAGAGGAACAGACAACAAGATAGAAACTTCCCGTGGTTAGAAACCCAACCAGGCGATTGCAAACCTCTCTGATTTACAGCTTTAAATGGGCTCGATTCTCCTCTTCTGCAGCTGATGGAGAATGTAACATCAGTAACATGAGATACCGGTTTGGATGTGTCCAAGGGTCCTGGGTTTATAGCAATGCATTTACAATATGTTAAATCCTGAATCTACAGCCAGGCTTAGGGAGAGGAGCATTCACCATTTTCCTCTGACATTTGTAATGAAGAATCCTGCAAGGCTGCTACTGGCACCCCTCAGTCAGCCAAGTCCAGGCAGGTTCCAGCACTGAGTTACGGAGTTTACCAAGAAAAAAAAGACTGAGAAAATGAAGAATGCCTCAGGGTTCAAATTTAAAGGGGAGGTAAAAAAGCACCAGAGCTGGAAATTGAGAAGTGAGGCTGGCAAAGGTTACAGAGCATCATTAGACAGCAAAGTGATGCTGAAGAGCATACACGAGGGTAAGTCAGTGGGTGTTAGTGTGATGGGGCATTTCTGTCACTGGGGGAGTCAGTCTGTCCCCCTTAAATTTCCCAGAGTTCCAGTGGCCCCAAGGTGACAGTTCTCGCTACCCACAGAAGACCCGAGTGTGAATCAAGAAGAAATCCGTTGAAATATGGAATTCAAGCCAGCCTGTAGCGTTAAGAGGGAGAAAAGCCCAGTTCAGTGCTTGGCCCCCCGGGGCGTGGGGCCCTGCATCCCCGGTGCCTGCCCTTTCCACTGTGGCTTTTCTGTCCTGCCTCTGTCCCACAGCTGTGTGTCTGTCTGGGATCCCGAAGCGCTTGGCGGGGCAGCTGGGCTGGCGGCTAAACTGGAAACATTTGCATTTGTCCCTCTGCAGAGGCAGGAGCGGGGTCTGTGCCTGCAGCAGGACCGGGTTGGAATTCAGTTGCTTGCGACTGGTGACTCCTGAGTGCCCAGAGTGTTGCTGCAGTGTCCTGGCCTAAATTCACTCCAGTTAGCAAATAATTGCCCGTGCAGCATTTGAATCGATGCTCAGTTGGGAGCTAAGGTCCTGGTGCTGTCACAAGGCAGTGGTTTTCCACCCCAGAGGCAGCTGCGTAAAATCAGGCATTGCAGAGGAGAACAGAAGGGGCACAGTTGGTGCTCTTATTTTATTGCTTTTGGCATGTACTTGGATTCCCCAATTGGGTCTAACCCTAAATCTACCCCGTCCTTCCCTTTCACTGGACCTGTCAGGGTTCAAGGGACTGCAGGACGAGCCCTGACCTTGCAAGGTCCATCTTTGACTGGCTCCTCCATGGTTGGGGAGGTGGAAGATCCCCCTGATGGAACTTGGGTGCTGACCTACCCGCTGGTATGCAGCTCCCGGTGGGCTCCCCACCGCTGTGACCCCGGCCCTGCGCTCCCGGGCCAACCCCTTCCCCCTCGTCCCTTTTTCAGGCAACATGTGAAAGGGGTTTTGCAGCTATGGAGGAGACACACCAGAAGAAGATTGAAGACCTGCAGCGGCAGCACCAGCGGGAGCTGGAGAAGCTGCGGGGGGAGAAAGACCGCCTGCTGGCAGAAGAAACGGCTGCCACCATTTCAGGTACGGGGACATGCCACAGGGTCCGTGGTGGTGGGGACATGGGGATGGTGTTTGCTCCAGTATAGAGGAGAAAAAGGTCGGATGGGGTGAGGGCTGGATGCGGATCAGAGGGAAATGAGAAAGAGCCTCGTGAGAGAGACATTTGGGGTGAAAGTCTGTCTCCTGGTCCTTCTCCATGCTTGACCCCCATCCTTGGCTGTAACAGGGTCTGATCCATCTGTTCCGTCTCAGAAAGGCATTAGTCATTCCTGTGGTAAATTTATTGCTGATTTCACGCTGAATTGATTCTTCAGTGCTCCAGGGAGTTGTAAAGTTCTGGAGCCCAGGGTCTCTGCATTGGGAGTCCCACAATTCAGGAAACAACATGTGAATTGGGCAGTCATTCGGGCTTTATTAAAAACTGGGCTTTGCAGAAGCCCCTGTGCCGCTTTGCAGCCAGGGGCGCAGACTGAAGGGGCTGTAGAGCAGTGGGGGTCTTGCTGGGATGGCTCAGTTCTTGTTCCTTAAAAAAATAAAACACAAAAAACCTGCAGATTGGTGCTGGGTGCTAATGCTGTGCAATCCCACGCAGCCATCGAAGCCATGAAGAACGCACACCGGGAGGAGCTGGAGCGAGAGCTGGAGAAGTCCCAGCGCTCGCAGATCAGCAGCGTCAATGCCGACATCGAGGCGCTCCGAAGGCAATACCTGTAAGACCATCATCATCCTCCATCTGTCACTGTGTCCCGCAGGGCGGTCACACATGTAGGAGACCCCTTTCTCCAATTTTGGCAATGACTTAGGGGCAGACTTGTTGCAGGGACCTCTTCCCTTGATCCCAACCTGTCTGCATCCTCAGAGGCTCCTGCTTGCCTGTAATCTTTCAGGCACCGTGTCAGTGTTCCCACCCAAATTCAGCTGCTCTGTGGTCCCCAGATGTGCAGATGTGGTGCTGCTTTTGACACAGCCGTGGCAGGAAGGTTGAGAACCAAGTGCCCAGAGCATACTTCATAGATCTCAGCTGGGTTTTCGGAAGTGTGAGGAATCTGGCTGTTTAACCTCCTAGAGAGTGTCCTCCCATCCCTTTTGGTGCCCAAGCACCGCTATGCCAGGAGAGGGAAAGGCTGGCTTGCTCCGAGCTTAAGGTTTTCCCCAGAGGGAGTGTACAAGTCTTTCCTCCTCAGTGCTCAGATCCCTGTTGGGTTGTCCTGGGGTGCTGGAGGGGGAGTGGGCACGGGTGGGTGTGTGCAGGGAGGACCCTACCCAACATGTGTTCTGCCAGGGAGGAGCTGCAGTCGGTGCAACGGGAGCTGGAGGTGCTTTCGGAGCAGTATTCGCAGAAGTGTTTGGAGAACGCTCACCTGGCGCAGGCGCTGGAGGCTGAGAGGCAGGCCCCCC